AGTTTAGTTATTTCCTCTAGGGTTTGGTATGGTTGAAGCTCCACAATGTTGGCAATGTTGGTGTTTAGCCCGAAAAGATATCGGACTAGGGTTTGAGAATCATCTTCTTGAAGGTCGCATCTCATCAAAAGTTCTTCGAACTCTCGGCTGTAGTCTTCCACTGAGCGGCTCCCTTGCCTAGCAAAATTTTCTCGAACATACTGGTCCGGGAGAAACTTCTTCTTCATTAGGCTCCTCATCTTGAGCCAAGTCTTTACCGGTGCTTATCCTTCGCGGTTTCTTTTGGAGGTCAAGTTCGACCACCAAGTCGAAGCATACTTTCACCTTCTTTTCTTCGGGGACATCCTTGAAGTCGAAAACACGTTCTACGGTCTCTAGTCATTCTAAGAATTCATCGGGATCATTCTTTCCTTCAAAGGTCGGAATGTCAACCTTGAAGTCACTAGCTCCCTTGTCACAAGAGCTACCACTAGTGTTGTTGCTAGAGTTTCCAGTAGCTTGAACTTCCTCATTTAGCTCTTCATCACTTTCTTCGGGTGTATCAAGCATTCTCATCTTCATCTTTGTAAGTTGAGCCACTTGCTTGGCTAGGTACTCAACTTGAGCCTTGAGGGCTGCATTAGAGGCTTGGAGCTCTTCATTGGACATGGTTTGAGATTGGTTTGACATGGTGTAGGTTTTAAGTGTAGTATGAAAAAGGAGATGGCTGAAAAAAGGGAAAAGGAAAGAGGAAGAAAGGGAAGAGTGTTCTTGGTCCTTAGAGATGTTGAAACAACAAGCTTTGATACCAAATGATAGGCACCAACTCAAGAAAAGAGAGGCACGAATGGCAGCAAGGTAAAGGATGGGAGTTGTAGGGCTTTATTGGTGAGGTTTTTGTGCAAGGAATGGTGGTTTTAAGGAGGGGAAAAACTAGGGACGAAAATGGCAGCAAGGGGGATATGTTTTAGGCTTTTGTTTAAGTGGAGAAGGAAGGAGAAAGGTGATATTAAGGGGGTGTATGTGAGGAGGCCGAAATAGGGGTGAAGAGGGGATGAATATTTGCTAGTATTTTCTTTTGAGATAGATAAACCAAGTTGGTGTTCAAGAGATATTACACACTCTTATCCTCACTTGGGGTTCAATCTAGAATTTAATTAAGATATAACACACTTAATCAAATATCTAGAACCTAACACTCACACATAAGGAAACCAACCTTAAGATATAGAAATTAGGATTTAAAATAACAAACACAATGGTTTATTACTTAGGAGATGAAAGGAATACAATGTCTCACAAATGAGGCCTATGGCCGAAATTTAAACAAGCAAAGGAGGAAAAATACTAAGCACCTTCCTAATTCATCACTAGAATATTATGCATTGCTTGTGTTCTTTTGTGGAATGAATTCAAAGGATATTGATGGAGATTTGAAGGAGGGTTTTCGGCCAGTAGTGGGGATTTTGAAACAAGGGAATAAAAGGATGATATTTGGGTGATGTTGGGGTGATTTGAGGGGGATGTTTTCGGCAGTTTTAGGGGGGCAAAGAGGGGTGGATATTATGAAGTCAAATATTGGTGATGGGAGTGGGTTATTTTTGGCCCACTTGAGGGACCAAGTGGAGTGAGTGAAATTAGGTTATTTGGCTTAATATAGTTGGGGAGATGTGGTGGTTATAATGGGTGATATGTATGCTGTTTGGGTAGGGAGCAAAGGGGTCCATATGTTGGGGTTTATTAAGGGGTGTGATATGGATTGTTTTGGCTCTTGTTATTCGGCCAGACCTTAAGAAAAAAAGGTGGGATATTTGTCAATTATTTGATGAGTTTAATTGTATGTTTTTGATGAGGAAGGGTGTGGGTAAGGTGGGTACAGCCTAGGCTGAAAAGGGAAGAAAAATGGATTATCGCTTTGGTGTTTTAGGGAGAAGACAATGGGTTGTTGTTTGGGGTGTTTTAGGGTGGGTTCGGCCTAGGGTGAAAAAGGAAGAAAATGGGTTGTTGTTTAGGGTGTTTTAGGGTGAAGACATTTCCAAGGAAATTATGGTTAAGGGTTTGGGTTTAGGAGGGGTAAATTCATTCCAAAAAGGATCGTAAGATTTTGTCTTTAATCCAGTGATTTGTCTAAGGACTTTCATGGGTACTGGGGGTATATCACACCCTAACAATCAATGCATCATCACGAAATCCGTGAAGCTAAAAATGAATAGGCTAAAGTCAGCTTCCCAATGGGAGCAGCTGCCCAAGTTTAGTTGACAATCTTCTTGAATCCACGGTATTCAAGTCCTGTCCTATTGGCCAAGACAATCAGCCTCAAGGTAATAACCTGCAACAGATACTGCTATGCTTCTCAGTCTTAACTCTATTTGGATTCCCGAGTATTATCATAGCAACGCCAAAAAAAAAAGAACCGGAAATATGAACACCAAGCAGTAACCCTTATCTGTACTTAGGGCCTTTGGGAAGCCAGATAAAATTGGGTGAATCCAACACCAGTGCCCAAGCTAAGGCTGCAAATTAACTCCTATACCAAAGCTCTGTGCTCCAAACTCGTGTATTTAAAGAGACCTGAATCAGGAAAACCCATACCAATCATTTCTTACCAGACATTTTGTTAGTGCTCTTCTTTTTCTTGTGATTATTATTTTACTGGCTATGTTTGATGCTGAAGCTTCAAGTTTGAATAAGGAAATCAATGGCATTAGGTTTTTAGTTTTGCTTCTAGGTTGAACGGAATTAAGAACCCATGATTCATCGTCACTTTTGGTTTCAACCCCTTCAATGACATCCACACCCCAATGTTGAAAGCTCGTCTCTGCATTTCCCTCCGCTTCTTCCTTATTCCCCTGTAGACCCCATGATTCATTGTCACTCTGGATTTGTCTAGTCAGGCACTATATTGATAGACCCTGAATCTGGAAGTGCGATGCCCACAGAAAAGATAAATGGTTCTTGTAGTGAAGTTGCAGGTCTGAATTCTCTGGCAAGGGCTGACAGTATGGAGGTTGGTTGCTTTGTTGTGGCTGCATTTTCCCTAGTTTCAGAGACCTCAAGTAGATGAACTGGCTTAATATCTTCTGTAGATATCAAGCTAGGATCAAAAGCATTCGTCCTCTCCTGAGTAATCATCCCAGAACTACAAGAATTGCAAAAGAGCCTATTCGAGTAGTCAATGGCCAGTGGTTCTTCATTCACTAGCTCTTCACTTACTAGCTCTTCACTTCCCGGTTCCATGAGTTTAAGAATCAAATCCTTATTAGAGGAGGTCCCCACTTCAGTTGATGAATGAATGTTCTTACACTGGTTATTTTTCTTAGCTTGTCCACAAAAAAAACTCAGATGGTGAGGCCTCTCTGTTTACAGATTGCACTCCTTCCGCATTATATGACTGCTTTAAGATGTTGGAAGCCTTCAGAACTGGCTTTGGGAAGAGCCTAGGATTCCTGAAGGTATAATAATGGAGTTTGCCCCTTCTCTTCAATACTCCCGCCTCCCGGGTATGAACGAA